GGTGTGCCTCAGCTGATTACGCTGTATTCTGCCTCGCCGAGCAGATTTGCAAGAGTGCAAGAGCAAAGCCATCCATGCAGACGGCAGGAGGCCCTGTAAAATCAAAACGAAGGCAAGACCCTGTCAGAAGCACAGTTGAGCAGCCAAGGTTTGTTACAAAGCCGGAGACAGCGAAGAGGTCCGCGGCTATGAATGATGAAAAGAACGCTTTCCCAAACTGCTGCTTTCGCAATCCTGGCTGAGCTTCACAGGCAGACTACCCGCACAAATTCCGCAAATGCTTCGCCGTTCATAACTAGCCATGATGCAGAGGCTCGGGACTGGGTCAAGAAATTCCTTTTGGGTGGGGGTTGTGCTTGTGGCAGCTGCCTGAATGCAAGCTTGCCCAGGATCCATCCACCTCGATGAACCTTCGAACTCATGCTCATGGGGACTTACCTTGCCACGGAGTGACACGAAAGACTGATGCTTCTGATGTTTCTGCAAAGCTGTCTGAGCTGCATGGCAAGAGCGGGAGAAGGTTGGAACTGCAGTTCACCGGCTTGCACAGGCGACCTTGTCAAGCCTGTCGGCTTGAAGCTGAGTACAGGAAGCGCGCTTCGGTTTTCTGGTTGTTAGTAGGGAATGACGCAATAGAAAGAAAAGTGGCAGCAACTCTGTTGCGAAGGGAATTACCTAGAGACTCCCATGGGGTTTCATTCTTCCACTCCCTACTCACAACCAGCAAGTCAGTTCTGAATGCAGGTAGTAGATGTTGTCTCCACTCAGGAACGACTGGACACCGGCCACCAAAGCCTGACTGCCGAGATTGAGGCAAAGTGCCAGGAGGCAGCCCAGAGAGTTTCCTTACATCTCCTCTCTGTCCAACTCTTGATAGGGACCTTCTCAATCAGTTCCCTTATTGCAGAAGATCACCTTTCTCAGAAATCCTGATTGCATACTGAAACCCTAAATATAGATAGGCCCTGACTGAGCCCTATACCTGCAGTGTGTAGATTCCAGGCCCAGCATAAGGGCTGGGCCTCCACTAAAGGGTCTAGTAGGAGCTTAGCAGCCGTAGCACGAGTAGCAAGAAGATCAGGGGCGCTCACACATGACATCCGCATCATCAGCACTGTAGGGAATTCATTTTATCGCACAAGTCCATAGACAGGGGTTGAAGACCTGAAAATCCTGCAGGAGAACAGCAGTAGAATGATGGGGTGTAGCACTCCACGAACACACGTTCAAGACGTGTTCCATGCCACAAAGGCGCATGACAAGGTTGATAAACACCGCACAAGCCTATTGCAAAAACTTCTAGAATGCCCAGAAAGCGTTCCTGGATTCCGGAAGTTTCTGAAGCTGCCATACAGTCTACGAAGACTCACGCTGCGCGCATAAGCAGGGCAAAGGGTTGGGAGTTTTGTTTCTCCCTGTACACCTCATGACCTGTGTGGTTTTTCAGTTTGAGTACGAAACCGGCTTTGAACTAGCTCATTAAAAAAGGTACATCCTGGTTATGCTTTTTAGGAATCTGAAAAGTTCTTAAAGATTTCAATCCTGTGGTGGGAGCAAGCCTCAAAATTACGTGCAAGATTGAGGTTGCATTCATTGTGAGGATTGGGCATGGCAGAAACGGATGTCCAACAATGCGGGTTGCCGACATAGCCTTGGCTAGCCGTGCATCCGCAATAGCGGCATGTGGCGTTGCGTTCGGGAACCTTCTGTTCTTGAAGCAACCTTGCCGAACGAGTGAGACCCGCCGTTCCTTCAGAGTGCATGCAGCGCCGTGGCGCAGCATTGCATGGCTTGGATTACTTAACATTCCAGGAAGAGTAACGTAAGATTTGACAGAAGATCTGACGTCTGGGCCCGGCCAAGCCAGTCCCCGGCTGATGGCCTGGGAGGCAGCTCAGGCCTCTCACCAAAAAGGAAACAGGTTGATAAAAAAGCTGCGTGTTTCAGTGCCCTTTCAGGGATTTGAGGCTTCGGAAGTATCTGCGGAGTGCTCCAAGCAGCCATTTTGGATGCTAGTCAACAGATGCTGGGCTTGTGTACCTTAGGTTTGGGCAATGTTCAAACCATAATGTCGTGCATACGATCACGAGAGCATCCATACCCAAACCATACTAACATTCGTGTTCCAAAAGCATACGATAACCACAGCATCCATGCCCAAACAACAATAACGTTCATGTTCGAGTGCACTTGATGACAAGCACATCCATGCCCAAGCCATAATAACGAACGTTCATGTTCAAGTGCTTTCGATGACAAGCACATCCATGCCCAAAGCATAATAACGTTCGGCCGGCATCCATCAGCTGAGATCTTCAAGTTCTTAATTTTTCCATGTTGCCTTTCCTTCTGTCATTAAGATAGCACCGACACCACAGCAATAAGCATGTTCTTGAACATAAGAGTTCCTTTCGTAATTTCCCCGTTGGTAACCAGGCCTTCCCCTGAAACTTGGAATCTGCCCGAAACGCGGGCGAAAACCAGTTCAGCAACTTCAAAGCACCAGGTTTTTTATGTGCCTGTGACCACCACAAAGCACTCCCCCAGGAAATCCCAGACTCCACGCAGTTTCACCTATCCTCAGCAGAACATTTGTGAATCCTTGTGCAGCCCTGATCTTGACTTGGTTCGAGAGGTCGGAAATGAAATGGCGAAGCGGGAAGTCGAGAGTCAGAAGGCCCCGCCTGCCACGTTGCTTACAAGTTTTCGTATCAGAAGCAAATCATGCATATACTGGCATATGCACTCACATACTTACATACACACACAATATATACACATATAGATATGAATGTATCTTGATGAGTGTACACTCTTCTACAATTGGTTACGTGCATGTATATATGACCACCTGTACACATATGCATATGGGTCTTTATATTGTATGCATCGACACACATGCATACATACGTACGTACATACATGCATGCATGCATGCTACATAAGCACACACACATGTATGTGTAAATATATACAGATATATACACACATGCATACACATACACATAGGCAGGTACACATACTTGGCATATATGTGGCATGCATGTATGTTTGCTTGTTTGTGTGTGTATACATATATACATAGGTGTAGGTTCAAAAGGGACTTCTCCAATCCTGCAGAGGCTCTGACCTCCATCTCAGATCGACTACAGGACGTCGAGGCCGCTCAGGGCCAGCCGGCTGGCTCCTGTGTTCTGGCTGTGCGCCGACCAACCCTGACCAGTCGCATGGCGAAGCCGCGGCACGCGGCCTGCGGGCTTTGGAGCCCTTCATTGAGAGGGTGACCTTAAGGCAGGCTTTGAGCCGCCAACAGACTGGCAAGGTTCAGAAATCAAATCGTGAGGCTGGAGGATGTGGAGCAATTGCAACCCATCGTGGACAACCTGAGGCCTGCCATAGACTGAAGTGCACTGAGTGTCCGTGTAACCGGGTGCTGTTCTCCTCCGGATAGAGGTCTGAACTCTCTGCGTCGGGTCGGTTCCCAAGCAGCCACCTTCTGCGCCAAGATGGTCGCAGGGAGGCATAACCACTCTTATCAATCCCTGTCCTGAGGCCAAATCCTGAGAACAGCTGTGGCCGCAGAAGGCAAACGTGCAGAGGCAAGGTTGCAAAAAACATATGAAGATGCTGCGGAATGTACCAACAATCAGGATCAACCAAGTTTCTCTACCCGCAATCCGCACATATCCACGTGCTCGAAGGAAAACCTCCACGCCTTGCGGGAGGACCTTCGAGCGAGTCAGGCACAGCCTCGCTGGTTCCCATTGATGTGAATTTGAGTTTTCATTTTGGTTGTTAAGTGTAAATACGGTTCCTCAGGAAGATAGGTAAATGTATAACAGAAACAACAGCCATGGGTCACGTGCACCCAGCATAACTGATCCCACGACCCAGGAATCTGACCGCCTTCTGCTGGCAAAGGAGCTGCAGGACGGCTTGTGGCCTTATGTGTCGTATCAGGTAAGGGGCAAGCTGCGAGTTGGTGGGTGGGGTGATGCAGCCAGAAGCAGTTTCTACAAGCAAGGAAGTGAGAGATCTTGCAGAGGCACGCAGAAGTTGAGCGCAATTCAAAGGGACGTAGTTTGCTGCTCGCGGTTTGTCTTGCATGCTTTTGTGGTGTGATGCAACCTCCAGCACATGGCTCAAGCTCCATGGCGCGCTTCCTTCCTCTAGTCCTTAGGCCCCTCGGCAGGCGCAACGCTCTGGCACTCTGCTGAATACAAACAGCCACTCTGCGGAGAATTGGGGCCGCATGAAGGTAAATTGCTGAGTTCTTGGAGCTCGGTGAATTCTGCCGTTATGGTGTCCTGGCCGCACACGGGAGGAAGCTCATTTATCTTGAGTCCTGCACGCTTCATCAGCATTGAGCCAGCGTGGCAGATGTGTCAGGATCGAAGAGGCTCTTTGAAGCTCGGCCAGAAGTATTCCAGATTTTGCGTTGACTGTCGCTGTCAGGGCCAATTACCATTTTTCGACGCTTTCAGGCTCTAATCCCCATTCCGTCATCACTGCAATTATGATTCTTCTGTTCCTGTCCCATCCGGTGCAAGAGCTGTATGACAACAGGCTACAGCCTCTTCTGCTGCTGTGCCTGCCTTTCGCCCGGAGTTTAGAGGCCGAGTTGGCTGACTAGTGTATACCAAAGTCCCCACTCTTCGTCGTGATATGATGGGTCTTACCTTTCAGCATCTCATGTGCAATCTTGTGGTTTCTGATCATGTAGTCGCTATGACAGTACTAGTGAGACTTTGCTACGGACTGGCTAGCTCCTTGCACTTGCAGCAGGCCGTGTCGCAGGAAGTCAGATCAGATCGTGCCGCGGCAGCTTCTGACATTGATAGTTTCTTTGTATACTGACTTGCTATGACCTGTTTTCTGCTTGTGAAGATTCATGCAACATGCTTAGCTTCTGATACTGCTGCCTTTACTCATCCTGCTCCTCATTTCAGTGGCTCTGCCTGCGCTGATGTGAGGCGTCTCTTCGATTGCTGTTTCGGCAGATGGTTCTGCCCAAGGCTTGACATCCCCAAATTGTGGGTCGCTGTGGCAATGCATGCAGGGAACTAAGCAAATGCCAGCACACGGCAGGCCTCGTCCGAAGTCAAAGGTGGTGGGCACCCAAAGCTCCTCCAGATGAAAGTCGACCGCAGCCTTTGGCCAACACAGGACAGAAGGGTGCGTTGGATTCGTTGTGTTCTGTGAAAACCATGTGTTGCGGCTGATAGACATGATTTTCCGGAAAGCTAAGCGCATAACATGCCAGCACACCTCTCCCAATTGGGTGGCTAGGCACTATCAATCCGCTCACTTGCTACGACACCTTGGCCAAGGCCGCATCCTCAGAAGTGTCATGAATGCATGGACATTCTGAGTTTGGATACAAGCGCAAAGCAGCAACCAAGGAAAAGATTCCTTGCATCAACTTCGCCAAAGTCACCTGCAAGCCCTGGCAAGCTTCAGAATGCAGTTGCGACGAAAAGCCCGCATCCCAGCAAGCTCTTGTCTGGCCTAAGAGCTTTCCTATATCCTGTTGTCATAGGCGTGTTCTTGGCGGCGTGAAGCTTCCAGGGGTAAGGCCGAGGAGCCCTGCAAAGCTTAGGAATCCAATTTGCGTCACGGATGTGGCCCAGCGATCATCAGCTGCATCCCCCGCAAATGGACGTTCCGCCATCGAAACGCAGTATGCCCCCTGACAGGATGACCAGCTGGCTGAAACTTGGTTTAGAGCTGATTTGCGTGCCTGGCCACTGAGGCATGCTGCCCAAAGCCGGCGCTGGACGAGGCTGCCTGAAACCTCAAATGCTGCGGAGAGAAAAGGATACCCAGACCTACCTGCACGCTTGGCAAGCACGTTTGGCAAGCGCCCTTGGCTGATTTCGAGGGGCATGGGATTAGTTCTCCGTGCAATCTGGAGGCAGCATCTCAGGAAGCTGGGAAGCTCACCTCCGCGGTGGCCGCAGGAAAGCAGGCGCTGGAAGCGTTTGCGCTGGCAGACTGGCAGCAAGGGGCACAGCGGATGCGGATCCTGTCGAGGCAGACGCCAAAGCGCGAGAGCAGCTGCAGGAGGAAACAGCAGCAGCTAATCGAAACATTCAGGCTGTGGAGGCCAGAGCCCAGTGACTTTCTTGAATCAAAGTGGGGAGTGCAGAGATGTCACCTTCAGGCCCGCCTTCACGACCTGATGACCGGAACGGTGGGAGACCCCAGCAACAGCTGAAACCTTCCTCACTTTGCATTGGCCTCACCGCTGCCATCTCAGGCTGCAAACCTCCAAGGCACGGACATTGAAAAAGGCAGCACCGTGGCTGTGAAATGCTGCGAAGATCACTACCAGGCTCTCAGCAACGACTCGAAGACCTGTTTAGACAGGAGTCCACATCCCAGCTGCCTCCGTGATCAGCGTTGCCCTGCGGCACGAAAGATGACTATGGTTCAGGCTGCACAGCGCCACCGACAAGGCATTTGCAGAGGACGATCCGTTTCACTGAACTCTCAAACATTCTGTAGACTGCAGTGGCCATGGACTGAGAAGCAGAACAAATCAGTAGAGCAGAAGCACATGAGCCATTTCAGGATCAGGCAGTCAGCGGCTTAGGTCGGATTGGGTCAGCCTTTCTCCAGCTGCCTTATCTGTGCAATGTGTTCATGTTGAAACATAATTTGGCAACATTGCAGCGATTCAGAAGCAGATGTGTAGACCGCGTCCATGGCTTGGTACGCTCGGCCGCCTAAGGTCAGCAAGAGACTTGAAGGCCAACTCCATGTTCAAATCGGAGCCGTGACAGCAGAGATCAAGGACTGTTTGCTACACTGAAGCTACACGCATGACTTCGTGCAGATGCTTTGAGAGTCGCCTGAGGAGCTGAAATCAGTTTCGATGGACAGCTCTGAGAAGCCGGATTCGCAGTGTTGAGGTAGTACGTTTTGGCTTCTCTTTCGCAATTCCAGGCTGCGCGTTGTGGAGCGGGAGTTCTCAACCTTGGCAGAAGCGCTCGATAAGGTTAAGGGTCAGGCCTGCAAGAGGTTTTAACCGTCCAGCGTCCAGTGGCTCGCGATGGTGCTCAGGGCATCTCATACGAGTGGAAGATCCCCCACTGTCTTCGGAGGCTTCGCTATCTCTCGCTGTCACAGACTCGGTGCTAGTTCATCTCAAACAGCTGGCTCTCAAACGGCATTCTAGTTGGTGATCAGGCTTTCGGAACCTGGCCTATGGCTGGACTCAGACCGTTTCTACCTGGGAGGGCTGGGACCGCTGGACGCCCAGTCACAGACTTCTCCGCAAAGGCCACAAGCTTTGTGCCAGGGTGAAGATATGTTCAGGAATGGCATCAGGTCGCTGGCAGCCCTTCCATGACAAAGAGGGCTGTATCGTTGACATGGAATCAGGCGTTTGTCCTGTGGTTGGCAGACGCTCCCTTTTGCTGGCAAGCGCAGATTGCTCGCATGATGCAAAGAATTGGAGTATTCGAGCCACTTCAGCTGTGAGAGGAAACACCTCCCGCAAGGTCTGAGAGCAAAAGTTGCCAGTGCAAAGCCTTCTCAGCCAGCGCTTGGGCCCCCCCATTCTGCCTCCGCAGCCTGATTGCTTGTGACGCGTATTGAACTGAAGCTTGTTGTGGGAGTTGATGTCCAGTCCTGCACCAGGCCAGTCTGACGGCGCATGGATTGATGGGGCTGGTCTGCTTCTGAAGGCATGGATGTCGTTCAAAGACTTGGTTGTCGGAGCGCTTTGGGCTACTGCCGGTCTGGGCTGCTCCTGCTCGCATGATGACTCGAATTGGAGTATTCGAGCTCAAGCCATGAGACCAAAAGTCCTTACCGCAAGGTCTGAGAGCAGGCGAAGCATTGCTAAGTTGGAAATTGATGAGTTGTGTTGAAGATAGCTGCAAACTTGGGTGCCCGGAAGTGGTGCAGAAGTGGCGCGAACAATGACGCTGCTGAAGTCAGCTGCGAAAAAAACAAAGAAATGTAATGACGGTTGTAAAGCTGAGGTTAGAGATGCGACTGTATGCAAAAGGACTTCGAGGTGGTGACGGGCGAGAAGCTTGGCACTTGTGCATCTGAGTGTAGGAGATGTGGGCTTGGCTTTCAGCAAGGCAGTGCTCCCTGGCGCTGCGCTTGCCGGCAGAGGCAACCCATCGACCCATCGATACTGTATGAGCCTGAGACAGGCTGGCATGCCATTTGCACAGGCCGCTGCGAAGTTCGCCTTGCCCATGATGGTTGACCTCACGGCCAGCCTGGCATGGCTTCGGTTTTAGATACCCTTCTGCCTGAAGTCAACATCCTCGACGCCTGTAGGTTGCAGGTAGGACGCTTCGAGCTGGCCAAACTACAGATCCTGAAGGCTGGGGTGAATGGCAACAGGTCGCTCGTAGCCTTGACAGCCCTACTTCTTTTTTGTAGGCTCGGACTGCGTCATCTGGCTCGCCGAGTCCCTCGGTGTGCTGGAGTCGCATCTGGTGCGCTGTGCTGAAGCTGGATCCACTGCTTCTGGCCACAGCATGTCTGGGCTGTCAGGTAGACGAGCTCACCGAGTTGTCTCTTGTGGCTGAGTTGCCGCGGCGTCCCCAAGATGCACAAAAGATGATGTATGATTCTTCTCAGTAAGTCTGAGGCTGCTGCCAGCTCCAGCTATGCTGGCCAGCCGCACAACTCTGTCGCCTCCAGGAACCAGAGGCTGCGCAGACTTCCTGCAGACTTGAAGCGGTGATTGCTCGCGTTTGCATGCGATCCAGATGATTTGCGGCTTCTGGACATGGCCTCAGAGGAGGCCCTCAAAGAAAGGCGAGAGACGATTGCAGCTCCAGGGGATGCCTCGGTCCAGGCTCTGGGGTCCACAGCGACGCTACCCCCTGCAGCAGCAGTCGCAGCAGTCGCGTCTGCATCCCAGTTTTGTGTTTAGGACGCCAAGGTGTGGTAAAGACAAACGCTCGTTGTCCAAGCTGTACTGTACAGGCCAGTGTCGCGAAGCAGAGATCTGCGCGGTGTAGGGCTGGCATTGTTGTGAAAGCTGTATTTTGCCTTGAGCAACATACCGCTTGAGCATTCTATTCTTGCAAGCCATGTAGCCGTGAACTTGTGCAGGTCCCAATCCACAGCAATGAAACAGCACCGTGCGAACCCAACCAATCTGCAGCCCAAAGATTGTGCTATCACGCACTGTGCAGCGGTGCAACCCAGGTCACTGGCCTCACTCCCAACCCTTCTGGGACAGACGGAGCAGCCCAGCGAGCTTCTTATTCTTGTATTAAACATTAGTGACCCCAATGTAATTAACCACTTAAGCATCTTCTCTGCTGAGGCGGTGTGTTTGCTCTTCGTAGTTCCTGGGGCTCTTCATGCGCGCTGCCAGTCACCAAGGTGCATTGGAGCCAGCACGTCTCAAAGTATTTCTCCAACTTGGTCATGACAAAATGCCACGCGCAGGCCTCCAATCTCTTCGAGGAGCAGGTGTCGCCGCTGGGTTCCTTGCTGGGCCACGGACAAAGGACGCCATGCAGCATTGACGGCAGCGTTCTTCAGCCGGCTGGAGGGTCTTTTGCTATGGCCAGGAATCCGGTGGCCATTCCTGCAGATGATGCTGCTAGATAGGACAGATTCTTTAAGCGGGGATGAGACACGGAAGAGAAGTTCCTTTAGCAGGATTTAGCTCTCCTTGCTCAGGATGCAGGCATGCCGACTGCAAATTTGCAGACTCAGCTTGGCAAGCCTCCGGCAGCAATCCAGTTGCAAAAGAAGGGATCATGGTCAGGTCACTGCCTAGAGATGATGTTATGAGAATTTGGATTTTGCCAGCAGATTCTGGTGCGACAACCAGCTTAACCACTTAACCCGCACTGCGACGCACATTGATTTGTGGTTGATGCTTGCTCATCTGGTGCAATCCCGAAGTAGTTCTTTTTCTACTTGTTCGGATTTACAAAGTTTGGTTTGAAATCTTGAACCGTCCAACTGCAGAAAGAGAGTAGGCCAGTGACGGGGAATAACCCGGGAGCGTGGTTGCATCCCAATGCGGGAAAAAAGTGTTGAGAGCCCAGTGCTCGTGCTGCAGCATTTTTGCACTCAGACAGCCATGACGCAGCCGGGGCTTTTATCTCGGAGATGGGCGTCCACGCCCAGGTCTTGCTCTGAGCAACTGCGGTTCCTAAGAGTTGCTGCAACCGTCTTGTGTGAATAGGCCAGCATGGCCGAAAAAGCTGCTGCGCTGCTGTGCTCTGACAGTTGCGGTCCTGGCCTGGCACCCAACAAAAGCCGTGCCTTCGATTTTGTGGAAGAACTGTGTCTTTAGGCCCTGGCTTCCCTCCCGAAGAGGCCCCGCTGTCCTGTGACCTGCCTGGAACCTGCCTGCAGCAGCACCGGCGGAAGGACCTTCTCGCCGCTTAGTTTTGGCAGCGGCGGAGTTGGTCGCAAGCCGGAGGAGCCTTTTGCTTCCTATGAAGCGCGTGAGGTGTTAATGAAGTGTATGGTGTTAGTGACGGGCAGGTTCAAGCCCGCGCCCATGGTGCCCATGGCCCGGTGCGTGGCCCGCCAGAGGTTGACATGGCAGAGGACGCCGGTGCTCTGCTTGCTGCTCATGAGGCTGCTTGAAACTGTGGGTGAGATTTGAGGAACCTGCTTTCTTGGACTCCATCATGGAGGGAATGAAAACTTCGGCAAGGGTGCCACCACCCACTGGCTGGTTTGCCTGCCACTTGCAGGTCGTTTGAATGTAGTCTGCTTGCGCTGAAGCAACGTTGAAGCTGCTGCGCAACACTACATCCACATTGCATTCCGGCTTGCTCGGGCTTCCCTGGCTGAACTTTGCCTCGTGTTGTAGCTATCAAATTTGGTTGGATTGTGCAGATCTTCACTTGCAAAAGCTTGGTACAGACTAAGTAAGCACCGCACATGCCAGATGAAGCACACAGTTGCAAGACCTCGTTGTGACCCCCACCATTCAGTCTGCTTAGCTGTGTTCCATTTTCTAGCTCCAAGCTCGCAGCTTGCCTGATGGGTGGAGGGCAGCTATGGGAGGCCTGCACTAAGAAATGGTTCCGCGTGTTTCGCTTCTTCCTGGCTTTCCTTCTTGTGTCTCGCGCGGTCCCTTCCGGTGGGGTGCAGCAGGTCACAGGCGGATCTGCTGGCGGCGGCATTCTGGTGCGCGAAGGCAAGGCTTCATTCGGGCATCAATTTGCGAGAGACCATGCACCCAGGCGAGAAGCTTTCGTCCCCAGAGCTTCCCGTGCGACTAGCCAACGGCTCCATCATCAGGGAGAAGGACGGCTTGTTGCTTCTAGGTTTGAGGCTGCAAGACCTTTCGCGGCATGGGCGACCACCCTCTGTGGGATGCAAGCAGCTTTGAGACGTGATCCTAAGATACATACCGATTTTCCAGCGCAAGCCTCGCTGGTCTCAACAGCCCTTTTAGGCTAGCGGCCTCACTTGATGGGGTTCAAAACGGGTGCCGAAGGGCTTGTCCCCCCTGTGTCACCCCCAACATCTGGAGAGTTGAAATCTAAATTTCTAAGGAACGCCATGCGAGCAGTTCGTAGTCGCAAGGTGGAGCAGATGATACTGAGCAATTTCAAAACCTGCTTCATTGCATTGCAGGAGTTGAAAGGTGAGCGTCTTCATTTTGAACTTGTTGGCGGCACCGGGCCCAATGCTGGCTGGGTAAGCCTCAAGGTGAAGGCTCGCACGGGACAGTCGGATTGCAGGACCTCTGTTTACCGGGCAAAAAGGTAAAGGCTAAATCAAAAGGACAAGGACCAGCCCCAAGACTTTCAGGCAATACACATACATATGCATGTATATATATATATATCTAGATACATATACACACATATATATATATATGAAGATGTATATGTATATACATGTCACCCTAGTTTCCATTTGATTTCCCCTTGATTCGTGTCAGATCCCTAGACTCCTGTGAAATGTCAATATACTATAGGAGTTTCCATTTTCTTTTCCATCATCCCTTGTATAACCCCTATATATTCCTCATAACCCCCATATAAACCCTATATAATCCCTGTAGTTTCCATTTTCTTTTCCATTATCCCAATACCATGTTACCCTATATTATCCCTATACTGTCAATGTGGATTTTTTGAGCGAATGAGCAGCTTCAGCTCGTCTCAGGGTCGCGACTTGCTGCGACCGGTGGATGCACAAGGCAGGTCTGTCTCGAGCTGTTTGTTTCTAGCTGATCTGCTTTTAGGCTGCAGACCTCCTGGTAGAAGTGTAGGAGGGGGCTTTCAACTTTTGCCTTGCTCTGATTGGACACTTGCCTGCCTGAAGCTGGGTGTCGAAGTTCCGTGCGCTAATGCGGTTTGCGACCCAAAGTTGACTCTGGGCCTTTTCCCTGCGTTCTTGCCAGCAACCGGGCAAAGCATCATTAGGATTGTCAAGGAACCGTCATCCCTGATGATGCCAATGCATCCCTAAGATTCCTCAGGGTGTAGCACGACTCTTTGGTAAACGGTCCTCCTGGCCAAAAAGGCGGCTCTTCGTAATGCTTCCGAAGCCCTACAGGTGCGCCCTGGTGGCTCAATCCGAGCCGCGTTAAGGGCACCATCCTCTTCCTTTCCATTCCGTGGAAGGCCAGCAAACTGGAAGTTTGGTTGGCATGATGCTCTTTTTCAGGTTTTTCTTGCATCCCGTGGAAGTTTTGGTGCTGCCTGTGAAGCCTGTAGTTTCTGAAGTGTATTTTCAGATGGGCAGGGGCATATCGTCCACTTGAGGCGCATAGGCCTGCCCGTGTGCACAAGCCTGTGGGTGCATGCCAAATCTCGGATTTCTAACTACTCACTCAAAAAAAGTCGAGAATGATGAACTCACATGAGCTCACCGCAATTTTCGCCTGTACTCATTTCTTGCAATCTGCTTGATGCTGCTGTCGTATTGTTCCAAGCAGTTTGCCAGCTCAGAGAGGCCAGTGGTTTGTTGGACGCCCTGGCTACAACGTGCATTTTGCGTGTTTTCCGGAAGACGAGGTGGGGTGGGGTATTCCAATTTTTGGGTACCAAATGGTTGGTTCTACTGCGTGGGTTCTCCTGTGGGTCTGGGAAGCTGGGTGATGACTTTTTGGTGGCGCTGCGATCAAGATGTCACAGGCCGAGCTGAAACAGCTGGGCTTCCAAGTCCATGCCTGCATCTCAGATTTCGGATGTTTTGTGGTCGCATTGTGTTGGCATGTTGGCATCTAGGTAGCGCAGTGGTAGTGCTCACCAGGTCACGCAGGGAGAGGAGCGCATCTCTTCCGAATTTTTCCAGCTCATGGAGGCAGTCAGCCTGATGAAAGCGTCCCAGAGGATGCCTCCCCCCACTTCCTTTTCCTTCTGCGTATTCAGGGTTTACTAGTATATTGGGGGCATATGGGGTCATTTAGCGGATGTGGGGTGTAGGGTTTAGGGATGGTCCACAACTACTGGCTGTTGGTTGCGCCAGGATGGCTTTCGCGAGGTTGCCAGGAAGCCTGCCGATACCGACCAGGAGATCCCCTCAAATGAGCTATAGTCCAAACTCCTTAGAGGGGGAGTATATAGAAGAGTATGATAGGGGTTACTAAGGCGGATACTACTTTGGCTCAAATATTCCTCTATAAAATGGCTAGGCTGGCCCCTCTACAAAATGGGTTTGGTAATTTGGGAATGTACCTAGATAGGGGAACCCGTATATAGACCGCAACATCCTATAATCCTCATTCTGGGGATCCCCAAAAAGTGGTCTCTAATTTTGGAAGCCCTTATCCCCAAACCCTATATACCCTATATAACGCTACATATGCCCTATAATCCCCTTTAAGGATACCCCTATGAAACCCCCAATTCATTTCTAAGCCCAAAGCCTCAACCCGAGGAGGAAGGCGGATCCTCCATGATGGCGTTCGCACTCAAGCAGCCTTGGCTAGTTTACATAGGAAGTTTAGGGTTTAGGGTTAGGGTTTAGGGTTTAAGGCGGGGGGTTGAATAGGAGATTATATGGGGTCAAGGGTATAGGGTTTTGAGTCTCAACTCCTTATAGAGGGTTCTATGGTATAGTCCAAACTCCTTAAAGGGGTTATATAGGGGATCAGGGTTTAAAGTTTGGGGATTACGGTTTAGGGCTCCTTAATGGGTTTTTTCATAAGGGAGCACTATAGGGGTTAGTAGGGGCGGTGCTATGAGAGTACACAAAAACCCACGTAACATTGGTAATTGTCCTCATGAACCCCTATAACACTCCAGTTTTTAGTTTGGTTCCCGTCTTCTTTTTTGTTTGATTTTCCATTACCCCCGTATAATCCCTTTATAATCCCCATCTACTCCCTACTTTGTTCCTAAATGCTCCCACAAGATCCCTTCATATATTTATACTATATATATATATGCATTTCTTCAAGCCTGTGTGAGCCTGTGTAATGTTGGATTCTTCAGTCTGGACTTGCCAGGGGCATGGCGGAGTATGTGGACAAAGACCAGGCCCATGCAATTCAATTGTATTTAGGGTTTAGGGTTTCGGGTTTAGGGTTTTGGGCTTTAGATGGGTTGTAGGATTTATAGTCCCCGTTAAGTAGAGAGAATATGGCTTTGGGTATATGTTAATAAGATCCCCACGTACCCCATATTCTATCTACTGAAGCAGGACCATAGGGTTTAGGGGGGTTGCAACCACGACTGCGTCCCTGGCTTGCAGGATCCACTCGCAGCGTATTTTGCCTTTTGCCTGCGCACGTGTTGCATCTTGGGCTGCAACATGGTGGACAGGGTCAAGAAGCTGTACTGTACTAAGAGGAGCAGATACCCGAGGCGAAGTGAAGCCAAATGTTCTGAGCTCAACTCGCACAGCTGATAACCTGCCAATGCTGCTGGTCAGCTTTGACAGCTCATTGAGCTTGCCTAGGTGATTATTTGCGACGCTTTCTGCGGCAATTCGGTGACCAGTCTAGAACATAGCCGTGCAAGGTTTTGACAACACGCGGCATGAAACATTGGCTGTGACTTCTCAGCAATCCGAGGGCTTAGTTCCTTCTTGGTGCTACGCAGAGGGCGCAGCATACATTCCGGTGCAATCGCCTGGAATTCCTGAGGCAGGCTCTAGCAGTACTTACAAGACTTTTTTGAGACCATGCCGCTGAAGGACCACGACAAGCTGAAAGATCAGAAGCCGACACTTGGAGGCATCAGAGTCAAGAGGTGGTTTCGTTGAATGCAGAGAATGGCTGTGAAGACCGTTGCAATGATTCAGTAGTTTCCATGCAATATGAAATGAGTTATGAGATGCATGTCGGAGAAAAAAACATGATGGGGCTTTGCTCTTCGAGCTGTGCAATCGATTGTTTTCAGCAGCGAAGCCGCACAACTTCTTGCAGTTCTCTGCCATGGCACGTGGACTGTCATAAGGACAGAGGAGCTGCCTCCCGAAATCGTGGCCAAGGCCTGCCCAAAGCTTGCAAACCAACCCCATAATTCGGAGATTGTGAAGAGTAGCGATTGAATTGATTGCTGCTACGCAATGAGGCCTTAGGCCTGCCGGTGGAGGTTGTCAAGGCCATCAACGAAGGAAAGGACATGACTCAACTTCCACAGGCCCAGTCACTGCAAAAAAAAGTCCCGTGAGGTTTCGCATGATTGTCCAGGCTAACTCCCAAAAAATGACTCTCTTCGGCCTCACATCCACGGTCTGGAGCCTA